TAGGAAAGATATCAGAATCTGCTCGTTAAGAGAACGGATTTTCTTTGTGAGTACTGGTACCCTTAAAGATGGCGAAATGACGAGTTTAGACCTCCTGTGGAACGTGATGTGATATTTTGACAGCAATTGATAAACACAGCCCAACACCTCTACCTCTAACTGCGCGCAATGTCTTAGCTATGCTGACTATAATCCGTTTCATGCGAACATATTCTTGGGGAGGATCTATTTATTCTCAAAGTGCTGCGCGAGTCTTGGCACCCTTCACTTTTGAGTACATCTCTTCTTCAAATGCCTTAATGTACGGTCGGATTCCCTCCTCTGCCGCAGGGAGCATTTGTGTCGCAAAGAAGCCACAAAGCCCAGCTTGGCGATCGATCCACTGCTAGAAGTTAGAACAAAGTCTGTTTAAAGCAGGGTGCGTGGGAGGAGAGAAGACTTACCCAGAAAACGTTTGATGCACCACTCCACATCAGAGTTGCGTTCCGCCGGTATGGGTGACTGTGTCCATCCACAAGCAGACCTCCAAGGCCCCAGTCATACTCGCCCGTCACAGGGAAGTGACCAACTGCCCACTCTGGCTCTTCCATCGCCTTCAACAGGCTGCTCTTAGCCTGTGATGACAGCTGGGGCTTGAACATTTCGGAAGTCATTGTCGGACTCAGTAGCTTTCCGTCGTCAACCAGCAGCGAATGCAAAACTCTCATGACATCGGGGGCCGATCCATAAGACCCTTGTCCGCCAAGACAGTCGGTGACTCCATGATTCAACTCCCTTCCGCGATGGAGGATAATCTTCCCTGTGTCCCTGTCCCGGGTGTTCATTCCCCAAAGTTTTGATCTGACAGACTCAACATTGAACGTGAAACTTGATGCGCCAACCGGGTCCCAGATATTTTCGCGCATATACTGCTCAAGCGACTTCCCAGACACATTCTCAATCAGCTTCCCCATCCAATCTGAGCTGCAACTGTAGGCCCAGTCTTCTCCCGGCTCATAGTTCAGGGGGTACCCGAAGCGCTCCTCGACGGTAGACCCGCGAGTTGGTTTGAGGCCGTGGAAGGACTGCCAGTCTCGCGTCGCATCGCTGAGGAAGTCGTAGCTGTTGCCGGCGCTGTGCGTAAGAAGGTGTCGCAGAGTGATGGGCTTCTGGCGCTGTACCTCAGTGGGCTTGCCGGAATCCGTGAAGCCGGTCAAGACGGGTTTCTGTGCTAAGGTCGGAACGTGTTTTGACACATCCCCGTCGAGTGTTAGAATACCACGTTCTACGAGCTGCAAGGCAGCGATCGTCGTGAAAAGCTTTGTGACGGAGGCAAGAGTAAGGATATGATCATCTGACAAACGTGTTGCGCTTTTCAGGTTGTCTCCATACACATGCGAGTATTGATAGATGCCTGTTCGGGTTTATTAGCATCCCTTGAAGGTGAGGCCAGCTCCAATCTTAGGGGAAATCAAATTACCAGACTTGTCTCGAGCATGAAGTATGACGCCAGGGATATCACGATCCCGCACAGCGGTGTCGATACGCTCTTCGAAAGAACCCATGTCTGAGAACTTGAGTAACACACTTTGTCAACAGGTCTTGACGTGTAAACAAAAGCCTCTTGGTGAGAAACAGGAAAGACTGAAACCTTAAACGGGCTGAAACAATTGGATGGGACTCGGGGATACATGAGCAACTTTTCATTAGTCATCCGAGGTTAATGCTGATCCCCCGCAGGTGCATGACAACATCCCGAGGTAACTGTTAGTATCCCTATTATAGGGTAATTAGTTCGAACCGTAGGTTAACGAAGAGATTAATTAAACTATATTAACTTTTATATAAATATAAAAAAGAGGTTTTAATTATAAGTTAAGTAGGTTATAATAATCGTATATAAGGGCCGTAATTAGCCCCTATATAGGCTATTATACGTTAAGGTTAAATTAAATTTTTAATTTAATACTAACTTTTTTTTTTTTTATAATTTAATTACTATAATTAAAAATATAATTTAACCTCGGGCCCTTTTACTAAGTTATCTCCTTTTCCTCTTTTATTTTACTCTTTTTATATAACTTATTTTTTTATTCGTATATTAACTTTTTTATTACTTACGAATTACTCTAATCCCTTATTAAATACTACTTTTATAAAAATATTAGCGAGGTTATTATTATTATTAATCTAATAGATTTTAAAAATTTTACGCTTTTTATATAATTACTTAAGAGTTATAATATTAATTATAAACTTTTTTTCTTTCGTAATCCCTAATTTAATAAAATATTCGTATAGTAAATAAAAATCCGTATAAACGACTATTAAAATTAATAAAAAGTTAAGTTAATTAGTAATCTTCCTTAGTATTATTAAAATTATATAAGTAAGGTTAATATTATTAACTATATTATAAACTTTTAATATTAATATACTCCTCGTTACTCGCTTATTTTTAATTAATAAATAGTAAATTATATTATTATATATAATAAATTCGCTCTTACTTATACTCTTATTAATAAGAATAATAATATATCTTAATTATAAAATAAGGTCCTCGTTATTTATAAATAAGTTATTTATAAAAATATAGAGCTTATTAATTATAAAGTTAATTAAGTAATAAATAAGACCTTAGTTAAGATTTGATTATTACTATTTAAGCTACTTATTAAGTACTTCGACGTCTTATTTAGTTAGTTCTATAGCTTATACTACTTTAATATAATTAAAAGTTACCTTAAGTTAATATATATTTATAATATATACCTTTTACATAAACTTAGTTTTATATCGCTTTTTAATATTAATTATATTTAGATTAATAAAACTAATTTTTTTACTTTACCCCTTTTATTAAAAAACGATAGTTTTTTTTTTTTAATTATAAAAATCCTATTATTAAATACTAATAAGTTATTTATTATAAGGACCTTTTTTAGCTTCGTTATAAAGCCTACTTTTTAAAGCTCTTTATCCTCTTTTTTTATAAAATTAGTATTAAATAAGCTTAATATATTATTAATTTATATTTTAATAATCCTAAATTAGTTACTTACGCGCTTAAAAACTAATAAGTACGGATCGTATATAAATATAACTATTAATAATTAATTAATATAAAAATCGTAATATATAGCTTATTAATAAGTACTTAGTTCTATAAGCTTATATAGTAGTTTAAGTACTTTAATAATTATATTTTCTAAGTACTTACTAATTATTTCTTTTAATAAGTAGGCTAAGATTTTTTTTATAAACCTTATAGCTAATTAAGTATAGGCCTAGGTAATATCGTAGCTCTAAATCTCGTACCCCTTTTTCTATAACGATATTATTAATATTATTATTAATTATTAGTCATAGTACTATATTATAAATCATTATATAAATAGCGTTACCTTTTTAACGTTACTATATTCCTAAATTACGTACTTAGATTTCTTATATAATTAAGGTATTCCTTTTTCTTTAATTTTACAAACTATTTATAATTTAAATATATAGAGATTTATATACTTTTTTAGATCGTAAAAAATAAATTAATAAACCCCTTGATTACAAAGAGTATTTATTTTAATAAGATCTAATCCTTTATATAGCTTTTTAATAATTATAATTATGCCTTTTTTACGTAGTTTAATTATTAGCTTAAAATCGGCTTTTTTTTTATTATATAAAAAGTATTAATTACCTCGTTATTAATAATAAATTACTATATTAATACTTACTATTATAGTCTTTTATAACGTCTTATTAATAATATTAATACTTTTTTAATAATTTCCTTTTCTTTATTATTTATTAGTATTATTACGATAATTTTATTAAGGATAATTTCCTATACCTCTACTATAGGTTATATAGTTTCCCTTAGCTCTTTTTCTTTTTATAAATTAAAAATTATTTTAATAAGATCTATATAATATAGTCTAACTACTATAATTAATATTTTAAATAATTAGTCTCGATTTTTTATAACTACGTAAGAGCGCTCGTTAATAAAAATTAATTTATATAACCTAGCTTATTATTAAGTAATTTTATATTATATTTATATATTCAAATTTAATAATATATTTAAATTAATCCCTATATTAGGCTTATTATATATAATAATTACCTCGTTAATTTACTTTTTTATACTTATTTTACGTAATACTTATATTACTTTTTTAACTACCTAAGCTTATTAATTTATATTTAATAATAGTAACGAAGCTAAGGTCGTTTTTAAATATACTCTAAATACTAAAAACGTTAATATAAACTTATTAAGCCTTATAATATTATTATAGTATTTAAGTATTATTTAAAAGTATTCGTTATTAATAGAATCGGGATTTTTTTCTTTAATAATTTTAAACGCTCTTTTTAATTACTAATACGCCCTTTTTACCTTTTTAATACTATAATACGCTTTAATAAGTACAACTTTTAATTATATATCGTAAGCCGTCGTATTTTTTTTTAAATTTTACTAACTTAAAACTAATATTAATATTAGTTTTAATACTATTTAGCGGTCCTTAGTATATATTAATCTAACTTTTTCGTAAAACTATTTATATTATTTTTATTTATAAATCCTAAAAGATTTACTCTATTTAAAATAATATAGCCTCGTTAATTATATATAGAACTGGCTAATTATTTAAATAAAAAATATTAATAACGATTTTTTAATTAAAATTAAGCTTATTACGTAATTTAAATTTAAATTTACGTAGGCTCTGCGTATTTATTTAGTATTAGTAATATACTTTTATTAACTACTCTAGTGCCCCTATTTCGATATTATTATTATTTAATTATTTTAAGAAGCTATATAGCCTTGCGATTAATAAGTAGCTAAATTTTTAATATAGCTATTAAAACTTATTTTTTATTAAATAATTAATTAATTTCATATTATTAATAAGCTTTATAAATGCGTACCCCTATCGTTATTTAATTATTTTAAAGTATTTATTACTAAAAATTCTATTCCTCGTATTATTAAATATAATACTTAGTTAATTTATATTTTTTAAATATAAGAAAAATAGGGTATTAACAGGTAAAATATAAAAAGTTATCGTTCTAAAGTATATTTTTATTTCTACTATACTTAGGGTAACGATCTTTTTACCTAGGCCGAAGCTAATTCTTATAATACCCGTAATTAACGTATTAAGTATTATTAATACGATTTTTTATAGCGCTTAGAATTACCCTTTTTTTCTTATTAACTATTATAATACCCTAATATTTAAAATAATCCTTTAAAAATTATCTAGGCCGTACTTTTCGTTTACGTAAAATACCTATACGAGCTTAGTATTTAAATAATCTAAGTAATATAAAAAAGACCCCTTTAGCTACCCTTATAATTACTTAGTATTATATTTTTTTTTAAATATTAAGAGAAGTACTAATTTTTCTTTTAGTATTAAGAAAATAGAATTCTATATTATTAAATTCGTCTTTTTATTTACCTCTATATCTATTATTTAAAGGACCTTACTTTACTATTTATAAATAAAAACCTATTTATTAAGGGCTTTTACTACTTTTTATTCGTTTAGCCTCGTATATCTTCTTAAAACTAATAATATAAAAAAAGAGTAGTTAATATTATTAACTTCGTTATAATTTAATTTATTAATATAGGGGGTAAAATTTTCTTTATTTTTTAAGTTTCTTATAAAGTATAAATATTATAAGCTACTAATTTAGTTATTTTAACTAAGTTCTATACCCCTAGATCTATCCTTATATATAATAAAAAATTAGTTAAATTAATAAAAGCTAGTTTTATTATTTATTACCCTCGACTTTTTATACTATTTATACGATTTAGTACGCTCTTTTTTAGAGTAGTTACTTAATTAATATCTATCTTTTTTATAAATAAAGTATTACTTTTTTTATTATTTTATTCGTAAGTTAAATCTCTACTTATTTAATAAATCTAGGCCTCTTTATTAATAATTATTATACTTAGCTTTTTTTTTTATTATATATTTAATCGACTTAATATTATTAATAAGGTCCGTCGTATATTTAGAAATAAGTTTAGTACGGTATTCTTATTTTAATATTAAAACTAAATTTTAGCCTCGAATAAAACGTCTCGTAATTTTTAAGTACTTAGTATAGGGTTATTTTTATTTTTAAAATACGCTAGATTATAATATAAAAATATTTAACTTTTTATTTATTAGTCCCCTTATTTAGCTAGGTTTTTACTAGCTTATTAATTTAATTAATAAGCTCTTTAAAAATTTTTATTTATAATTTACCCTTTATTATTTTAGTTATAAATATAAAAAAAATTACCTATAGCTCGGATAGAAGCTTTAAATTCTTATTATAAGTCTCGAAGCAGCTTCGGATTATATTAATAATACTAAAAAAGTCGTTTTAATTAAAATTACGTACTACTTTATAATAATAATCTAAGGCCTTATTTATAAGTACGATATTAATTACTAAATAGTATTAGTATTCCCTAATCCCGACTTTTTTATAATAATTATAAAATATTATTAAAGTCTTTTATAAGACCTTATACTTCCCTTTAGAATATAATTTCTTTTTAAAAAAGATCTTTTTAAAATTTATAAATTACTTTATATTTATTATTATATTTTTAGTATTTATATACGATTCTTATATTATTATATATTATTAATAACTTCGAGTAGTTTATTTTTTTTATTAACTAATTAGCGCCGAATTTTATATTAATAATAATAACGAGCTATAAATTAAAATAAATAGAATTATTAATTATTATACTTTTAATACTATATTTTACTTTTATATATCCTTTTATAATAATAAATTATTATTAATAATTATAAAAAAAAATCCGGGTTATTTACCTTTTTTTTAAACTTATTAAAGCGATTATACGCCCTATCGACTTATACTTAGTTCTATAATACGAATTCCTCTTCTATAATCGTTATTACTAAGATTTTATATAGTTCTTATAATTATAATTACGCTAATAATACCCCTTACTTATAAAAGAATTTATTAATTATTTTTATAATTCTTAAGCTTATATTTATAAACTATTCGTTTAGTTAATAACTAAGGTCGTTTATAATTTTATAAAATAGGGGTTACCCTTATAACCCCTTTTTTTTATAAACTTTAATTAAATATATTAACGCCGCGTTAATTTACTTATTATTAAATTAATTTACAATTTTATATATTTACGTTCCTTAGTAATCTAAATTAATATTTACTTATTTATAAAAGATTAAGATTTTATTTAGAATTAGGTTTTTTTTTTTTTTTACCTTAACTTACTAGAGGTCGTACTCTAACTTATACTTATATTAATAGTCGTTAATATATTTAATTTTAATAAGGATATATTTAATTTATATATTAGTTATAATAAACCCGTGCTTTTACTACTTAACGAATTCGTTAGGGTCTAAGTAATTCTTACTTTTTTTTATTATTTTATTATTACTCTCGTTTTTATTATTTTTAATAACTATTATTACCTTTTTAAATTACTAATTATTATTCTTATTAAAAACCCCCTTTTTATTTAATATAAAAAAATAGGTTTTAGTAGTCCTTTTTAATAATAATAATAATAAATATTTATATTATTATAAAAAGATAAAGTAATTAATCTTAGGATTTTTATTAGTTACTAATTTTTGCTATTTTATACATTTTTAGTTTTATAAGCTTCGTACTCTTTATAATTTTTAAATTACTTTTTTTTTTAACTTATTTTTTTTAAAATAGTATTCCGTAATAATAATTAAAAATAAACGCTAAGTAGTTTAAAAAAGAGCTATATAAGTAGTTAAGTATAGTTAGTAAAACTAAGCCCTCTTTTTTATAAAATTATAAAGTTATTAAAAATACTTATTATAATTTTTGTTTATATTAATTAAGGTTAAATGTTTTAAAGATCTTTTTTTATAGCTTCTTAATACTCTATTTTATAATTTCTTAAGTAATCTTTTTTATAATTTAATTATACTAATTTAGTAATTATTACTTATTAGTAATTCTTTTTATTATTTAGCTAATTTTTTAAAATTAGTAATTTTATATTAGGAGCTAATAATATAAAAGGGGCCTTTTAATAGCTTTTTAAAAGAATTTTTTTTTTAAGTTAATTTTAGTAAGAGGTTACTTAGCTTTTTTAAATTAGCGACTTTTTTTATTTTTTTAAGCTAGTTATCTTTTTTTTTATATTAATTTTTAATATTTATAATATATATAACTCGAGGCTATTAGGATTTTTAAATCCTCTTTTTTTTTATTAAGCCGTCCTTTATATTATATTCTTAAATAATACCCGGGGAGTAATTAAAGAGGTTACGAAGAGGCTATTTAAATTACGGGCTTCGAAGTTAGATTTATAAAATTTTTATAATAATAAATCTTTTTATATATTGTAAATTTCTTAGTTTTATAATTCCTATATAAGTAGTTATTATACTTATTAAAAAGCTTATATTATAATTAAAAATCTTTTTTTTAAATTACGCGTTACTTTTTTATATTATATTTTTAAACTTATTCGTCGCGCTTATTAATTAAGTAAGTAGTCGTTATATAAGTATTTCTTTTTATTAATTTAGCTAGTTAATTTCTAATTATAAGCTAGTTATAAGAGAGTTATTTAGTAAAAAAGCTACTCGAAACGATAATAAAAAATTAATTATTTAAGTAGTTTTATTAATTAACGTAATTTAACGTAATAAATATCGACTTTTTATAAATAGTAAAGGGTTATAATTACTTAATTCTATATAGTATTTAAAAATCGCTTCTTTTTTTATTTATTTTTATAAAATTAATTAGTATGAATTTCTTATTCTATATAATATTAAGAGGTTATTTTTTTTACGTAGCAAAATACTTTATTAATTTATAATAATAAAATTTAATTATTAATTAGTATTAATATTTTTATTATAGGATAATTAGTTTAAACTGTAGGTTAATAAAGAGATTAATTAAATTATATTAATTTTTACGTAAGTATAAAAAGGAGGTTTTAACCGTAGGTTAAGTAGGCTACGATAATTGTACGTAGGGGCCGTAGTTGGCCCTTGCGCGGGCTGCTGTACGTCGAGGTTGAATTGGACTTCTAATCCGATAGTAACCGATCTCGAGCATGACCCGCCGCAGGATAGCAATAATTCCGCGGAGAAAAAGAAAACACTAAATTTCAGACCCCGGCCTTAATTTCAAAATATTGAGGCTCCCCTTTCTACTGTGAACACAATAACTGTTCTGGACTCCCGACATTGAATTTGCTGCTCTCTTCAATTTGACCTCGCAAGTGCAATCTCTGACGCCAAATTTCGGATATGACATGACAGAAACACCAACATTGTAAAATGCTTCATTGAACAGCTGAAGCTTGAATGAGTTCTGAACTGGCTCTACACAATGACAAAGTCTTGAAAGGGTAGGTAGCCTTCAAGGCCCTCCACAGCATACTCTTCTCCCTTGGCGTCAACTCCGACTTGCTCAGCCTTCAACCTCCCTTTGAGACTGTCAATTGGCTTCAGAAGCTCGCCATCCATGATACCGTGCACATAGCAATCGCCGATGATCTGGAACTCGTCTGCACTGCCTGACTCAATATCATTGAGGATTTTTCGCAAGACGAATGGTGTCCTCAAACCCTCAAGGAGTACCACGTAATCCTCAACCTGGGCATTCCACGGAACAGTGCCCATGTAATGATGGTCCAGAGATTTTGTCTTGTATACCGCCCTACTGGGATTCTCTTCCAAGATGACCGCATCTTTTGCAATATCTTCTGCATTTTTGTCATCCCTTGTACCGATCATCGCAAATCGTCGCCCTCGTTGAGCTTCTTGAAAAGGGACAGTGAAGGGGACCATGTGTTTCTGGAGGTCTGCTTCGACGTCGACGTCAAAATCAAGCAGCCATTTGAATATCGCCGTCTGGTGCACGCGAATACCTGGCGCGTACTCGTCATTCTCTTCATTCGGTCCTTGAGCATAGAAGCGCCGGAAGGCGTCCACACCTGCGAAGAATTCTTTTGATGTCGATACTAGCTCGGGAGAATTATTGCCTTCCTTTCCGGTGACAACAAACTTGGCGTCTTCTGTCCCTGCATTCTCTTCTTTATCTCTTGGTCCAATTCTTTCGCCCCGCCATGATCGATCCATCGCTAGGGTTCTCACAAGCGCGTCATCAAGAGCCTCGTCGATATATCGCTCTTCGAGGTCGTCTTGAGCCGCAATAGTCGCAAAGGTAAGGATGAAGTTTCGAGAATCTTCGTCATTGAACGCTGGAATTTCGAGATCTGGAGCGCTCTCGAAAATGTTGAACATGTGATCAGTCTGATTATGGGTGTAATATTTCCAAGATGGCCCCACGAAATTGACTCGATCTAGAATCATGCCTCGTAGAGTCAGTCTTGGAGCTTCTCCCGGGGCCGATATTGATATCATGGGAGACGTGTTGGGCATGCAGTGATACAGCTGAGTCGATAAAGTCGAACGCGACTGAACTGTCCAATCAGGCACCCAGGAAGGAAGGTTTGGGACACCTTGATTGATGCCGGCGTGGTGTAGAAGGTCAATGCCGCGACCAGCTTCGATCATAAGTCTCGCCACCTCAGTGAAGACTCTGTCTGGCGTATTGTTTGACGAGTAGTCGGGAACAATGGACTGAGCGACAGGGTCGTCAGTGAGTCCAAGAAGTCCATACACTTTGTCTCTCGCATCCGTCGCCAGGTTATTCCTCGTCAGACAAAGCAACTCAAGGAGATTGAGAGGAGAGCCACTTTCCACAGGCTCATCCTCCACAATTTCAGTATCGTCAACTGTTTGAGATGTCTCGAATCCTTGCCTGCGGTCTCGTAGCAACTTGAAGGAGCTTACGGGACTCAAATGCATGATCATACTGAAAACTTCAGCATACATGCCGATCCGAAGTGGCCTTGGAAGGCCATGAATTCTCGCAAGGTCCCAGAAATCCGTGATTGCTTCCAGGCTGATCGCTGCTGTACCGTATAGCACGACAACCTTTGGTGCCAGAATGACCTCCTGCAGGATCCATGTGCGGAAGTACCAATCAGTCACCCAGAAACGAACCAACTTGTTCCACGTCTCCCGGCCCTCTTCCGTGTCCGTATCTGGGAGACCGACCTTGTCCCATTCTATGTCCGACATGATGCTGTCTCGGCGTTGGTCTTCCCAGATGCGAGTCATGAATGTCATGATACTGATGGCACCTTGGACACTTTCGGTGCTGTAGGCATCATCCACAGGCTCCAGGGTGAAGTCCGATAGCCCATATGGTTTCTCAGACTCTGCCGTGACTTCATCTTTGACTGAGTCATCCATGCCGAAGCTCATCATGTCCTGAACTCCCAGACCTCCCATACGGTCTTCCAACGTGGTTTCCTCCCTGTTGTTAACGTCTTCTGGCTTGCGGCGCTCATATTGGTAGTGACCAGGGTGAGCAAGAACCAGCTTTGCACCTTTATAGATATTTCCCATCAGCAGAACCTGTTGACTTCGTTCTACAATGTTGTCCTGATTGATGCAAATACCATCGGCCCAGAACCACGTGGTGGGGTGCCTGTTGAGGCAAGTTCGTAGCGCATGGTAGAGATTCTGCGTTACAGAGATCATCTTCCCGTTGCAGTTCACCGCGAGAAATCGCTCGGGGGTTCCCCAAACATACGAGAGACAAAAATAAGGGGGAGCATCATCCAGGTAAAAGGTTTCGACCCGCAATTCGCGTATAATGCCATCCTCCTCAGCGGCACCCAGTCTCAGAAGGCGAATTCGTCGAAGCTCAGGGTCTAACGGCTCATATTCAAAAGGTATCTCTGTGTCCTCGAACATGACATCCGGTTTATTTGACTCTGCGCTGGGGTCGTGTATTTGCTCATCTCCTGGCGCCTGGGTATTGTCCAGTTTTCCGGCGTATGCGTACGTGACGTTCGGATCGTCGCTCACTGCGAACGGCGATGAACTCAGTGATGCCGTAGCGGGATCGATTCCGTTTTTGCGGGCTAGGTATAGTCGCAGTGCTTCCGATGACCCAGCCGCTAGCTGGTCAATAGCAATTTGCAGCTCGTAGGCGTCAGGGTCGTTGTACACATCGTGCGTTGGAGTTTGAGGACGAGACATATTGGGACGTCGTTTGGTGTCTGTGAACTGAAGTTGGACCGATTAGAAACTCTTGTTGACACGCGTCTCAAGTTTTGTCATGAAGAAATATTGAATTTTCTGGTTTATTGTCGTTGCAACTTGATTCTAGGCAACAGTCCAGCTCAGTTGTGGAGGCTGAGTCACTTGTAGCGAATGTGGTGTCGACAAATCATCCTCGAGCGCGCTTCGGCAGAGCTTGCCGGAGGGATTGCCTGACATAAGCATAGGTGTAATCATTGACCTGAGGGTCTTCGCACCAGCTCATACTTGAGAAAGATTGAAGTCATTGTAGGACAAGCCAAAGGCTGATTGATTCAGCGATGAAATCATTTGATGTGGTGAGACACTTCGCGTGTGCCGTTGCCCGGCGTTGCATGGGTCACTTTACCTTGGGGAAGACATGAAATACAGGGTATCACTCGACTTACACCGAGTGGCAAGTCAATGATCAATTGGGAACGACGACCTGTCGACAAAGAAGACGGGTCAATCTCTACAGTATTTAGTATCAATTAGAACAGGAAGAGGTCTAACAATTGTGGACTCGTTGTTCTAATCAATCAATTGACGAGATTCCGCTTTCTGCCTTGAAAAAAAGCATGGGCTGAGGAATTTGCTGTTGATTTCAATGCGTCCGAGTGCCTCGAAAGAGAACTGATAACACTCAATCCCCTCACTAATCTGTCTATCAACAAGCCTTTGCCGCATGCTTGGCGAAATGGACCTCGGTGCTGGTCACCAAAGTCCGCTTCTCCCGGATGCGCCTCTAGAGCCAGACAAGTTCACTGCCCGAAGATAGTGTGCATGTATGCGTACACGCAGAGCCTGCGACTGAATCATGACCAACGCAAATGAGAAGCAGAAGACCGCGCCCAGCAACCCACCGCGTTGACGACATCACGGGCCAAGACTACAGCTTTTATAGTGCTTGGCTCTTGGCGGGCCCGAACTTCCCCTCACCTTCACCGTCGACCTTCCCGATCCGACCTTCGGTTCGTGCGTTTGCCCCAACTGACGGCGGCCGATTGGGCGCCGAAGTCTCGGCGGCCCGGGATGGGCATGCAAACTATTGTGTTTTTTTTTTTTTTTTTTGCTGCTCTGCAGTGGCACTCTGGTTGCGCCGCGTTTGACCGCAACACTAACACATGGCAAAACAGGTCTATGGCGGAAATGAATGCTGCGCAAATAAAAGGGAGGTCTCGCCGGTCTGAGTTGGTGGATTTCGTTTCGTGTGGTTTAGCCTTTGCTGTCCCAAGATCCGACCCACTGCAGCTATGAAGTTCTCCAAGTCGACCGCGACTTTACTGTCGCTGGTCACCAGCACCGCGGCAACGAACACGACATGTCGGCCCAAGATTGACTCGGAAAAGCTCCAAGCTGATCTCACCACTGAGAAGTAAGAATCAGCCATCCCCCTCGACAGTCCTGCAGGGTCAATTGGCGCAATTGGCTGACAAATATTGCGAAACAGCTTGATGGCCAACCTGGAAGCTCTCAACGAAATCGCCTTCGCCAACGGTGGAAACCGCGCCTTCGGTCTCCCGGGTTATGCCGCATCGGTCGACTACGTGTGGGATCGCATCTCCGCAATCCCAGCCACGAGGGCATGGAAACAAGACTTTCCTGCCACCTTTGGTCAGGTCACCTCGATCGACTTCAACATTGATGGCGAGTCGATTTACGTCTTTGGCTTGACATACTCTCCCTCCACGAGCGCAGAAGGTATCACAGCAGAAATTGTTCTTGGTCCCGATGGCGCCGCCGCCTGCGATGCTGCCAACTACGAGGGTTTGAATGTCCAGGACAAGATCGTGCTCGTGCAGAGATTCAGATGCCCTACTGGCGGCACTCTTGCTGGAAGAGTCCGCCCTGCTGCTGCCGCTGGCGCCGCTGCTGTCATTGTCTATCACGACATTACCACCAATGCGACGGCTGGATCTCTTAGTGCCCCCGATCCCGAGGGCTTTGTGCCGGCCGGTTTCATCAATCTCGCGGACGGGTTGAAGATCAAGGAGCGCCTGGATGCTGGCGAAACTGTTGAGGCACACTTCCAGCAAACTCAAATCGTTGAGGAGCGTATCACCCAGAATATCTTCGTTGAGACCGAAGAAGGTGACCCACACAATGTTATCATGGTGGGTATGAGGCTAAGCAATGTCTAATATTCGAAGCTAACACGTATCATAGCTCGGGGCTCACTTGGACAGTGTCCAAGCCGGACCAGGCATCAACGATGATGGTATGTCATCTTCACACCGTGATAACAAGGAGAGCAGTTTCTAATATCTTCACAGGCTCTGGTACCAGCTTGCTTCTCGAGCTCTTCCTTGCCATGACGCAGTACCGAACGAAGAACAAGGTCCGCTTCGCCTGGTGGGGTGCTGAGGAAAATGGCCTCCTCGGATCCAAGTTTTACTGCTCCAACCTGCCCGCGTCCGACGTCGATGACCTTCTTGTCTACCTGAACTTCGACATGGTGGCCAAGGGCTTCTTTGGTGTGGCCGATACTGACGGAAGCACCCACGGAAGCGCCGGTCCCGCCGGATCGGATGTTGTCGAGCACATCTACGAGGCGTACTACCAGAGCCAAGGTCTCGAGGTCACACCAGCCGTCTTGACCAACGGAAGTGATTATGCCTCTTTCTGGCAGATTCTCGGCAAGCCGTTTGGATTTTTGCACACAGGTACCGCGGTCGCTCAGGATCCATGCTATCACCAGGCGTGTGACACTATTGAGAATCCTGACCCCAACACCATTACTATCAATGCGAGGGTAAGTTCCCCTGCGTTTTTTCCTTCTCCTGTCTCCGTGTAAATAGGTGTAGAAATTTGAAATAAGGTCGTATTGCTAAGATTACTACAGGCTGCTGCTCACATGCTTACGGTTTTGTCATTGAACGGAACATCACTTATCCCCAAGACCCCGGTCAACGCAACGATGCTCACCCATCTGCAATCGAGAAGCCTTGAGCCCGATATGATCCAGATTGAAGAGTTGGAGGCTCTAGGGGAGAGGCATCTTGGATGTGGACATGATGTTTAGTCAACCATATTGACCTACATGTACTTACCTTACAATTAATAAATTCGGGGCTGCAAAGTTTACATGTACATTTGCTACTCAGACTCCAGCCGGCCAAATTTCTCAATTGAAGCCTTTGTTCATACCGAGTGGTCGTCGGAATGCTCACAAAAAAGTATCCTAACTTCGCAGCAACGGTAAATTTGTCGTACTGCAAAGGTTACTAATTTGACTGAAATGTGAGTTTACTATTTGAACATGATGATTCTGTCAGAACAGGTTAGGGTGCGAAGCAGATGTATTGGTTAATTTTCTAGTCTGGTATCAGTACACCTGTGGCTAGCTTATGAACGAATTTCCGTTCAAAATCTATAGTTCACATAAGCCGCCGACCTGTTCTTCTTGAGTGAGAAAAGCTTCCACATCGACCAAGTAACGTCAATGTGGTAAGCAGTCCAAAATTCCTCTACTTGTGCAACATTGACCAATGTGTAAGCTGAGCCATGATATATAATATGACGTCACTGTCAAGTCTACGGCTTTACTCATCATGTCTCATTTCACCCGCTTGTCCGTCTCTTGCGCTGAATTGTCTTGAGTACCTCCTTACTCGTACCCTATGCCGAGTGATGAGTCCGCAGCTATCTCCACGCAAAAAACGCCACTCCGCCGTGGGACTTTTGACGCTCGCCTTATGCACTGTGTCGGGCGTAATCGACCCAAATCTGAAAAATTGACTCGAGTACCATACAAAAATGGTGATCATGCACCCGCGCGTGTTTGGCGGACCTCTGATCTAAATATTGTCCAAGACTCCAACACGGCTTTGTAAAGTGCTGAGTAAACCTCGCCTGTCCAATTATCTACGTAGCTTGAAGGATACGAGCTGCCTCTTATGATTGGCTCGGTCCTCTGTCGTCCAATGAAAACCTTCCTTGGCACTAAAGTTGACAGGGTGCTCAGAGACCGCAGCGCAGGGCCAAGAGACGGTCATACTTGATGCCGCCGGGGATTTCCGTCAGCCCTCGACGGACTTAGCACCTGACATCTAGGCATCCCTTTTCTAGGGTCAAGCATCATTACGCAAATCCGCTTTTGACCAGTTTTCAGTCAGCTTGCATGACTAGAAGGTCGAAGGTCGAGGCCGCCCGTCTGGGAAGACATAGCGTCAGCCGTTGAAAAGAAGTTGATCTCTGTGTCCAGCGAACTTCTCACAAATACGAGGCTCTCGCCGTAATCTACGATATTGGAACGACACATCAAAGATTAGAGACCAATAGCCTAATCCAATCATGAACAACCTGTCGTTTACCCAAGCCATGCCACAGGGGCATCAAGCTTCAGCTTACATCGAAGGAGCTCGACAGAGCCGCATCCTCCCGTTGCTCCCGCACCCTAGCACCATCCATCCTACCAATCAAGACCTGGAGCTCTCAATCAACGGCACTGGCGACGCTTCCCATCTAAGAAGGAAACGTGCTAGTCGTCCCAAGGTGCGATCAGGTTGCATCACCTGCAAGATCCGTCGGGTCAAGTGTGATGAACGCAAGCCCACGTGTTTCCGATGCGAGAAAGCCGACGTGGAATGCGACGGATACACCAAAGAGGACGCCGATTCTAAGAGGAGCGCCGAGCAGCGAAGGTTGGCCGTCGCAGCCCAGGAAGCACAAGCGAGCCGGCAGCTTCTTCCGCGGCCGAACGAGTCGGGTCCGGTCGCCTCCGATCAAGAATTAGCGGTGCGGGTACCCTTGCCACCGCCGCTTTGCCCCTCGACTTTGCGGGTCAACCAGGAGGATGTTTACTACTACGATCTCTTCCGACACCGGCTTGTGCGTGACCTTTGGGGGTCTGGCCATTCTGATGCTTGGTCTAGAATCGTCTTACAGGAGAGCTCCCAAGACCCATGCGTTCAAGAGTCTCTCTTGGCTATCGGTGCTATATCTCAAGCCCAGATGGTTGAGGAGATGTCGAAGGACCAGCTGGATGCCATGCCATCAGCACTTCGCCCTTGGGGTACCAAGATGGCGCCATCTGGTGGGCTTCTCAACCACCATCATAGGTCGGCTTTACTTCATCACGTCAGAGCGGTTTCGATATACAGACAGCGAATTCAGGACCCATCCTCGACATCACCACGATCAGTCATAATCATGACTCTATTGCTCGTTGGGTTCGAGTTCATCCAAGGCAACATGAACAATGTCGACACTCTGACTGGCACCGGGATGCGTCTTCTAGAGAACAAAATCTCGCTTACGCAGCGTCCGCCACGTCGTGCAAATGAAAATGGAGCCACCTCGACGAAACCTTCACAGTCCGTGGCTACCCAACTGCGGAGAGGCGTGCGGGACGATGAGATGGAGGATATTGAGCACCTCTTGCCATGCCTCTCCCTCATGAGCGGCTTCACCCACTTCTTCAACTCCCACCGCACTGCGATGCCAATGATGAACGGCACTCCGATCCTCGAGCTGCCTGAACCAGGTGTTACAGTAGTTGCCAAGCTCGAAGTCTTCTGGGGTCAATTCTTTACTCGCGCAGTCGTACACATCATGCGCTGTCTGCACGACCAGCTTCGATACAAGCAGCGCAATATTACACAGGCTGCGTTGGAGCAAGCTACGTTCCTATCATACATACGAATGTGGGATTCCGTCCTAGAAGTATACCTCAAAGACCCTTCTCTTGAGGACAACGCAAGACGAGCTCTACGAAAGATACAAATCCATCGGCTCTTAATCCACATCGTCATCAGTTGCGGTCTTGACCGGACTGATATGTGCTACGACGCATTTGAGGCCGACTTCAGGGACCTCTTGAACAGGATTGTGACGTACATGCGTGACCCAGGACCGATCTCAAAGGTCGGCTTCACCTTCTCAGAAGGCCTCACAACTCCGCTCGCCACCATCGTCGCCAAGTGTCGCAATCACGAGCTGAGAATGCAAGCTGTCCACCTCCTCAACACCATGGCATGGAGGGAAAGCGCCTGGGATGGGAAAGCCCTCGTCATTGGCAAGTCTGGCGTGGTGATGTTGGAGGAAAGAGGGATGGATGCCAATGGGTTCATACCGTCTGGGTCGAGGTGGGTTTGGATGTCAGGTAAGTGGGATCTCGAGAAGCGCGAGCTTGTCGCCACGTACTTGAGACTGATGCCGAATGAGGACGGCTCTCCGGTTTATGCTCACTTGGAGCTTGACATGGATAACTTGCTGGATACGTGTAGCATGGTGGGATGCCACGGACGTCATGATCCTTTCGAGTGCTATCAAGAGTGACAGAGTAGCTTCCGCTTCTAGATTATTCTCATACATCCTCCCGAAAGTAGATGCATTCTGGTATGCACACCAGATATCGAAAGGAATAATGTTTATCCTAGAACCAGACGGGCTAGGCCTTATCATCCATTTACATATTTCATCGGCTGAGAAGGCACACCACCTTGTTCTAGCTAGATGGATTCGAGTCTCCTTCTAATCCGATCATGGGCTGACGGTAACCGCTCAAAACATACGGAGTACACGTATTGCTATGGCCTTCCTGTATAGGAATAGTGTCCTAAGCGACCGTTGAGCACGCCATGACCAGCTGCCACTTTGTCTTGGCAACTTGGCGAATGCTTAAACGTGCAGAAGGGAGGGAGCCAAGCCGAGAGGCTCTCAAATTAGAGCGACTGCATCTCGTCCATGCAATCTGTAAAATCGATGTAGGAAGAGAACTATGTGCACGCGCAATGAGTTACACGGATGTTGTCATCGATGAACTGAAGCATTGACTAGGTGCTTAGACAAGTTTCCAGAGCCATTGAGAGCTATTTTACACCACCACACCATGCGAAGAGAACAACTGTAGTCGTTGTAAATGTTGCCCAACGAGAAAGACTCTTCCTATAGACAGCAGGCGGAGTGGCTGGTTTCGCCATAGCGCGCCTTCGAGCCAAAGAAGTAAGCAGGCATGTTCATCTCAGGAAGGTGTTGAAACACCCAGAAAGCCTCGGTTCCGCCCCTTTTGTAGTCTCGGCCCATCTCACTACTTCCAATTGGTTATGGCGAGCTAGGACTTTTGTCATCTCGCAGGAACAGCAGCCCGAGAGATAAGTAATTTGCTTCGTTGTTCAAACCCAGAAACTTCGCACCCTTTCCGCTGTGGACGTGGTACCAGTATGCCAAGCCTTCTCCACGCCGATGGTCGGCATTGAAATGCAATTACGGATACAGAACTGCGTGATGGGATGATTACTCGTGCCACAGAATGTTCAGTGCACTAGGGCTCCCCCAAGTCTCCATTGTAACCTCAGAGCCCGAACTACCGCAGGGTTCAGTCTAGACCCGGTACATAGCATCGGAATAGGAAGGTCGTCGTAGAACGCGTCAAGTAGATTGCCAACGGCGGTGCTTTTTCTGCGCGCCCAGCCGCCAAAAAGTGCCGGGTGCCGTACAACGGGAAATCGCCCAACACTTTGTAGCCTTCGAAATGATGATCAATACGGGTGAAAAGAGGAAAGGCTCTGAGCTTTGGGTGTCAAGTCTTTCAACAGCTTGGAAAGCTCGCGATCCCCGAATAGGAATGTAAATAATAAGGTCCCAAATGGTCTGTTTGATCCGCTTCCTTTACCCCGCAGAGAATGGCATCCTACGGGCCATCGATCGACCACATAAGCTTCCCGCCTCCAGCCCTGTCTCGACCCCTGGTGCGATATCTCTATCAAGGCACATATCCGTCGACTTTTCCGGGAGGAATACGAACAGACACAAGTCGGGATTGGTCGGCTGACTGGATGAGCCGCTTTTGCCCCTGCCATACGCGGGTGTTCACGATTTCGCATACCATGCAGTTCATGTTCAGCAGGACGGTCAAGTACTGACCTCATACTTATCGTCGAAACGCTTGCAAAAATACAAATAAGCGCCGGGGAGCCTTCCACCACATTCACTAAGAGTTTACCTCCTTCCCAAGCTGGTAAGAGGCTCGTCTACCATTGCCATGAGTATATTGAGTCTCAAAGACTGACCGGTTCTAGATGCCTATCTCACTTTAGTCTCGAGCAAAGACAAGGGGCCACTTACCCGCCGGCGTTCGCCGCCTCCCCGAGTCTCCCGGTCAAATAAAGACTGTATGTAGGCATCAAGCTGCCTCGATTAGATACCGAGACTAGGAAAAGCTAGTTGCCGTTATGGTTGTTTGATTCAAGCTTGAACTCACGTCCCTAGCGCGGTCTCTGGCGACAGGAGTTGTGGAGTGAGCTCCGGATGCGGCGACATGCCAAGAGCTTTAATGGAACGTCCTTCCCCAGATTGCTTCGCATTCAGACAAGACTTCGACCGTTTCTCTTTACCCACCGATCCAGCTCAAGCATGGGGACATGCGGCAAGGTCGATAGAGTTGCCATCTTGGCCATCTTGGCTTTCTTGGCATCCCACATCGTCGTCGGGTCCTGCAAACTCGCCCTCGTTCCTTCTTTTGCCTTCCTATCCTCGCTAACCTCCGGCGACCTCGCTGCGTTAGACTCGCTTAGCCCCTCATATCGACGAAAGAGAATGTAGCCACCTTCTTTATCACATTCCCAATCTGTCGCTCCTCCCGGCTTGGCAGACACCGGAAAGCGCTTGTCAATGATGATCAAGGCCATTGGAGGCGGAACACGGAAGGAAAGCTTATCAGCAAGCCATGGTTGAATGAGGGATGATACTTGACTAGCAGTTGAATATGGCTTCATTCGAGTATATAAACTCCTCGTGAGGACCTTGATGGCCAACCTCCTGCTCCTCATCCCTCACCAGCATCGGCAAGATCAACCCAGCATTACCTTCCTCGCCTTCTTTGTCCAACCTTCACCATGAAGTTCCTCACCGGCCTCTCCTGCTTCGCTGCTGTTGCCAGCGCCGTTGTCGTCGATCTCAACAAGCGCGACAGCCCCCTCGATGTCAAGATCGAGTCCACTGGCAACACCGCCATCAAGGCAAGCATCACCAACACCGGTGCCTCTGACCTCAAGGTCCTGAAGGCTGGTTCCATTCTCGACAAGCTCGCTGTCGAGAAGGCTGAGGTCTTTGCTGGCTGTAAGTGCATTCTTATGAATATTACAATGATCCAATCTTGGCCACTAACAAACCTCATCAATAGCCGACAAGGTCGAGTTCGACGGTATCCGCCTTCGTCTCGGCACCAACGGCCTTCCCGAGGATGCCTTCCAGGTCATCTCCGCCGGCGAGACCGTCTCTGTCGAGTGGAACTACGGTGAAGTCCACGACCTCAGCGTCGGCGGCAAGGTTGATGTCGCCGCCAAGGGCGCTCTCTCCATCGCCGAGGTCGGCAGCAACGACATCACCAGCACCGCCTCCTTCAGCTCAAACGTCCTGAGCGTCGAGGTTGACGGCGCCGCCGCCTCCAAGGTCCGCCGCGACTTCCGCGAGAACGTCAAGCGCACCGTCGTCCAGTCCGACTGCACCGGCACCCAGCGCACCGCTACCACCACCGCTCTCTCCAACTGCCGTGCCCTCGCTGCCGCTGCTTCCTCCGCCGCCTCCACTGGCGCCGCTGCCAAGATGGTCGAGTACTTCAAGTCCTCTTCCACCGCTACCCGTACTACCGTCGCTGGCGTCTTTGCCAAGGTCGCCACCGAGTGCGGCAGCACCACCTCTGGTGTCTCCAAGCAGTACTGCACCGATATCTACCCTGCTTGCTCTTCCGGTGTCATCGCCTACACTCTTCCCTCCGCTTCCTACATGGTCAACTGTAAGTACCGCTGCCCTCACGACAAGAAACGGCATATCGTTTTTGGTGACTCATCTGACGAAACTCCCCGCGCCACAGGCCCCTACTTCTTCAACAGCCTTACCGCTCTCTCCAGCACCTGCCACGCTCAGGACCGTGCCACCACTGCCGTAAGTTTTGCTCCAGGATGTAAGTTACTACTGGCTCAATCACTAACTCGATCTCCGTCAGCTCCACGAGGTCACCCACTTGACCCAGATCAAGGGCACCACCGACCAGAGCTCCTGCTACGGTTACAGCTGTGTCCAGAGCTTGACCGCTGCCCAGAACCTGAACCACGCCGACACCTACGCCCGTAAGTCTCTCTCGCTCTCTCTTTTCGCGTTGCACGTGCTTACCACTCTCATGTCACAGTCTTCGCCAACGCCATCTACGTCGGCTGCTAAGCGTTTCGCGTCAAGATGGAACAATTCTTTGGGGAGCGGTGTAAGAACTCGGGCATGTCGACTTTCAGGATCAGATAACAGCTGCGCCGGAAAATGTTGCATGGCAGAATACCTTCGTTTGTGACCATACTCCGAGGGCCACAACTTAGCATTCTCATACATATTCAAAACGTAGAAATGATAAAGCAAGAGTGTTTGGAGTGTTTCCGCCGTGATCTGCGTACCAGACGGCCCATATCGTGTGGAACCTGATGTGCCAAAAATTGCAAAAATGAAACCTCAATGAGTTAATGGATTCTAACCATCGTATCTCCCCGAGGTGGGCTCGAACCACCAACCTCCAGATTAACAGTCTGACGCGCTAGCCAATTGTGCCATCGGGGATATTGAGATGCTTCTCGATGATGTTGGCGGACTCGCGGTTTGATTATGATCCTAAACCTCGAGTGGTGGGTTGCTTGTGGGACATTCGAAGCCCTACAAGCAGAAGCGAGTGTCTTTCGACCCAATGACAGCGACACAAGACCACCGCGTCCCACACTTGGCAGCACTTGCAGAACGTTGCGGTCCACGTCCCGGTCGATTTACTGCAATGTCTTGACTAAGAGTTGATTTGATATGGGGCTCGCGGAACTCGTGAATTTGTAATTGAAAAGACGATAGTGTAGTTGAACAGAGTTTATGTCACTGAAAACTTACTAATTGAGTGCAGTACGCACTCAACAATGAATCTCAGGGTGGGGTTGAGTCAGCATAGAAGGGCCGTCCCGTGCGTGACAGCTATATCCGTATAATTCCCCATGGCTCGGACACTGCACTTTGTCGAATTTACTAAGCCCATGACGTTCCGTTAGCACGATATGCCCCGAGAGAAGTGCTTACAAATGACGAAATCCACGGTGGCTGCTTGTCTGAGATCAATGCCATGAACCAAGTTATTAATCTCTATGATCATTTAGTGAGCCCCTCGGATTATCCGTCAACTCCCAATATCAAAACAGAAGTGAGTCCTGTAACTCGTACCGGTCGAGAACCTTGGCAAGCAGGAAAGATCCTGGCCACAATTTTACAAGAATGAGACCGGACTACGCCTAGGTTTATCTCACTTTCGCTTTGGCATTCCATCAACGATAAACAAAACCAATCCTTACCATGACTGAATCTCATAATATCCTTATCACGGGTGCGTCAGGCTACCTCGGGGGAACTTTACTTGCTCGTTGGGCAAGCGCCAGCCTCACGGGCTACGATAAGCTGTTCGCACTCGTTCGAACAGACGCACAGCGGGAGCAAGTAAAGCAATACGGGGCCGAACCTCTTACTTTTTCTCCTCGAGATGAGCAGGCAGTCCGAAATGTAGTGATACAGAACCGTATCACTATTGTCTTTTACTTGATTGATGCTTTCGAATCTGTGGGCCAAGAAAACTTCATCAAAGCTTTGGGCGAAGTGAAGTCTCAGACGGGTCTAGACGTTCACTTGCTTCACGTGTGTACACCCCGTCAATGGCCCCGCTCGCAATTCAGTGGAAATCGGCTAACACGTGGTTTTGCTTCTCTAGACATCGGGAGCCAAGATCTTTTCGGGTCTTGCAGGTGCCCCCACGGATAGTTCGCTCTTGGACACTGACCCCAGGCTATATGAAATCCAGAAAGCTCAAGAACCTCCCATTTCTCTCATGCAAAAAGTTAGTTCGCAGTATGGCCCTCGGTTATCGTCAAGCCATGCTAATTGTACGATGTACTCAAGCCTGTTGAGACGAATACCCGAGTTATTGACCTAGCACAAGCCAACGGTGTGAAGTCTTATGTATTTGCTCCCTGCATAGTCTGTAAGCCTTGTATCCCATGAAATCACCCTGTCAATTGTTTCCCCTCTGACTTCATGATACAGATGGAAGGGGAGAAGGATTTGGCAATCCTATTTCCATCCAAACCGTCGACATTGTCAAAGCCGCTAGTGCGGCTGGTCAAGTTTACTCAGTCACACCTGGTCGCCCAGTAAGTGATGAATATCTCCTCAGAAATGTTGACAAAAGCTTACCCCATCTTGAGACTTGGCCTGTCTGCCACGTAATTGATAACACGTCCCTTTACCTTCAAATTCTGCGCTCAATTTTGAACGGAGAAAAGCCAGAATACGGGAAGAACGGCTACTATCTCGCAGCTTCCGGTAGTGTTACCTGGGATGACCTGTATGAGGCGATGGCCAAGGCACTCAAGGTCCGGAACGTCATTACAGATGAACGTGTCGTTCCCGCAGACGAAACGGCCCTTGGCAAGATGGCTCACGGGCTAGGCACGGAGAGCTCTCTCGTACAAATGAGATTGGCTGGAAAGTGAGTGAATCCCAAGTTGTGTAAAGTGCATGATCATGGACCAGCAGTCTGTTTATCAGAGCTAACGTTGGCTATTTGAACCTAGGTGTACCTTCACAGCCAAGCACGGTGCTCAACTTGGATGGAAACCGCAATTTCCCCCCGAACATATCCTTGAAGCTGCTGATGATGAAGTCGAGCTTATTCTACAAACGCTCCGTAGCGATGCAAGCTCTGGTGACAAGCCATGGTATAAGAAAGAGTAAGAGAGAGTATTGACCATTGGAGACAGTTGCAACTTATAGGTTGCTCGATCAGTAGGAATAGAAAATTGATTTGAACTCAACGCACTGTACCTCTCCCAGCGTGAAGTAGGTCTAGCCCGCTTGAACTGTTCTTCCGCTGCTCGGAACTCGGACTACGTAATTTTGTCCGGCCTCGGCAGGTAAAGAAATTCATAATCTCGTCAGGCATCCCCAGTGATGCAGAAATCAAGATTATGGAATCCATGTTCAAATTGCGTCCTACAGTCAATTTCTCGATCTTTGGATCCTTTAGAACTAGTTACGATGCGAAACTTGCCAAAATACCGCATTCACCATGTTTACGGCTGGAATAACCGTAAAAGTCTGGTCAATGAACACCGACGCAGTAAGCAGCTAGCGCCGGAACCCCACTGTCCGCCGCGGATCCTCTCCGGGCGGTCGATTTGTAATGAATGAGATCAGTCCGATGAACCCTTGCCAAGCTCCTTGTTCCTCTATTCCCCTCATGCTTACTCTTACCCCACTCACTTGAGTTAACTTACATAAAACCACTTATCCCCGAACAAACTCTCCTCAAATCCCACCATCGGTCGCAGAGATCGCAACATCGAAGTCACTATGCCCGAAAAGCTCATCTTGTTCGATATTCCCGATCGGAACGGGGCCTGTTGGTCTTTGAATCCTTGGAAGAGTGGGTAGCCTTACTCAACCAGGGTAAACGCTGGACATTTCGACTGACGTAATTCTGCATATAGCTCGACTGACCCTCAACTACAAGGGCATTGACTATAAAACGGAATGGCTCGAGTATCCCGATATCGAGCCTAGGCTCAAGCCAACCGGCTTGGAAGGTGACCCAGACCAGATCAAGCCTTACACGTGTCCCACTGTGCAGCTCCCTGATGGTACATACATCATGAACAGCGCCAAGATCATTAAGCGCATTGAAGCGGACTACCCTGAGCCGCCGCTCTACATCGATTCGGAGGTGCTCCAGCCGATGTACGATCTTCTGAGCAAGACTTTCGGAGCTCTTGTTGCTGTCCTTTTGCCCAATGTCCCCCGTAAAATGTTGGGCGAGTATAGCGCGGAGTACTTTCATCGAACTAGGGCGGAGATGTTTGGGGTCTCACTGGATGAGCTTGAGAAGACCAAGGGAGGGGATGAAGCCTGGGCGAATGCCAAAGAGCCACTGGAGGGCCTCGCGAAGCTTCTGGACAAGACCGATGGCCCGTACTTCCTCGGTGACAAGGGTATGCATGCACTCTCGACTTTTCCACTGGGATTCCATCGACACGACCGCTAACGACACCCAATTCAGTGTCTTACACGGACTTCGTTTTTGTTGGATTTCTGTACTTTGTCAAGAGAGCTGGAGAGGAACATTATCAACGTGTTGTGCAGCATTGCGAGTCTTTCGACAAGATTTACAAGGCTTGCGAGAAGTGGTTAGAGCGCAATGACCATTGATCGAAATCGGACAAGTTCCCTCGTGCAGTGATGGCAGGGCTGGGGTTTTGAGTTTGGTTCTCTGATGCGAATATCTGCTTCAAACAAATGAAAGTTGTCTATTGTACCGCTCTATGTGCATGATGTGGTGCCGGAAATCAACATACAGTACTATGAGAAATGCGTCTCGTACAGGCTACCGAGGGATCTCAAAATGAGACTTTATCGTCTCTCAAGCATGATATTGGCCTCATCAGGCCAAGTGTAACTTTTGACCCGGCCAACATCGCGAACCAACCTCCCAGGGTGAATCCAAAGATACATCCCCATAATCGTGACCATAGGAACGGCATCAAAGAGGTATAAGAAGATCTCATGGCTCATGATGTACCCATTCTCGCCTTGAAAATACTCAATTCCCCTGATCAAACTTCTCAGAAACATGAGAGAGGCAATGCCGTACGTCATCAGGTAGTACTTCCTCCATTCGATTCCCGCTTTTGTCGCGTTCAAGTCGTTTGCCTCGCGTCGAGCACAGGCGTGAGAGTGCCAGCAAGAAAGCACAAATAGGGTGATAACGCCGAGTTGGGCCGCAAGACCGGACATGATCAGGGTCTTACCCATCCTGATGCCCTCTTCCGTACCAGAGGCTGGCATGACGGCGCCAAAGACCTGAGTAACAAAACAGCCGACGTCAATGAGGACATAGAAGAAGGCCGTGAGACGTGGGCTCACGAAAGCGTGGCGCCGGAGGTCGAGAGCGATCATGATGCGGCCGAGACTCATGTAGATCGTTGCGGCGAAAAGCGGCGGAGATCCAAGAATCAAGAGATTTTGTAAGATGTAGGGCCCAGCCACAATGGGGTTCTCGTGAGCTTTTGCACGTCCGTAGTATCCAAACGCTTCTCCTATTATTCCTGGATTAGTCACGGCAGGTAATAGGGTATAGAGTTTCGTAGTACGTGCAAGACCTACCAATGCCACCTACTATAAAAGGTATGAAATGCCATGCTCTGAGCCAGAACATGTTGCCAAGATGAGCCAGTGCACCGAGCGCAAAAATGACGAGGAACGCCCATCCTGCCCCTCCATTCGGACGGTAATGATAGAACACGATTTGTGTTCCGTTAACAACGGGTCCGAAGGGGCCAGGTCCGTCGAGCTCGTTCACCATTGTCTGAAAGCCTTTCGTCGTGATGCTAATCTATATGCCGAGGGTCTTGGTCGTTATTAGTTAAAGAGCGTGGGAATGGGGCGAATTGCCAACGTGAGCAGACAATAGAAAAATACAAGACCGGTTCAATCACATACAATGCTGATGTTACAATTACATACAAGGCGAGAAAAAAGTTAATGAGGGCTATTTATTTCTTCCAACATTTACAGACCATAGCTCGAGAGTAGACGTAAGGATTTAGGGGCGATCCACAGTGGCAGTGCGAAGCGCATAGCAATACGATTTTTGAACGCGATTATTCGTATCAAATACGACGGTTAACCACCATGTGGGGGTCCCGCCAGAAACAAGGACAGCCACGCTCCTGAACGGCACGCCCGAAATTTTGTGATTGTTCGTCTATCAATAGAGCTGGCAATCGAAGCTGCACTAGGCTTGTTCAGTTTTATGTTCACACTTTCAGCTAGACGAGTCCTATGAGCTGAATCCAGCAACATTTTACTATTACTTCATGTCCGCTCCCCATGTGATGATGTGCCGCTATCATCAGGCAGTGATCCGATATGACGAAGTCCTTGATTCAAACTGTTTGAAGAATTGGCATTAACTGAGAGCCCAGTTAAACCAATGCCCCTCAGTGAGTGCCTCAAAACAACTGTAGTAGGACCAGGCATCATCATATGAAGCGGGCGGGGTTGATTGGAATTCTGTCGGCATCATATAATCGAAGTCCTTGGCAAATGTTAAGGTTCGCTGAGAAATATTCGGAAAGGAAAAACGTACTCCGCATTCATGTTCTTGGCTTTGTTGTTGCATTCCTTGGGTCGAGCCTCAGCTGTTGAGGGGCTCCGTCTGAAACCAACGTCACAGATCTTGATGTTGGCCGTGCACACATCACCAACGAGCTCATCAATTTAGCTGCAGCAGTTCATCACGGTACAGGTCTAACGTCAAGTCCCCGCTCACGATATCAAGCGTCAAATCATCGTCAAAGTAGTCAAAGGGTAATCTACGATCTAAGCCGCGATGGCATCTCATGCGCCACTCAAATTCAAAGGGATACGGCCCGGCCAAGGGGTCAAGCCAGGAACCACCCTCCGGATCCTTGGGGTTGGCGACTCCATCACAGTGGGGTTTCTCAGTGACATAGAGGGAGGCGATGGCAACGGCTACAGACTTAAGCTCCGAGAAGACCTGTCAAGTGGGTCAGTCCTCTTCTACGAATCAAGAAATACCATACTAACGAATCCACAAGAGGATAGAGTCGTTTTTGCTGGGACGGAAACCATGCACGGCACGATGCGTGAAGGGTATTATGTACGTTGAATAGTGCACTCCTGCGAATTCCTCAGTTAACGAGTCGTCCGACTCACTAGGCAGCGTGGAATGGCATGACTATCAAGTTCATGTCAGATAATATCGGACCTTCTTTGGCCCAGAGACCTAATATCGTCCTCATTCATGCTGGAACGAACGACATGAACCCGAATCCAGACGTTGCTAGAGAAGGCAGCGAACCTCACGCCACGGCAGACCGTCTAGGCCACTTGATCGACCAGGTCGTGCAGACCTGCCCAGATGCCACAGTCCTTGTCGCCAAGATCATTGGCTGCTATGATCCAGTCCAGATGGGCAATATTGCTCTATTCAACGCGGTGATTCATGATGTTGTTCAATCCCGACAAAGCGCCGGTAAACACGTTCTCACTGTCGACTTCTCGAGCTTTCCAATGAACGCACTGAGAGATGGTATTCATCCTACCAACCAGGGGTACCGCTTATTCGGCGACTATTGGTACGACTTTATCACCCAGATTCCGGGCGACTGGATTAAAGAGCCTGTTGGAGATGATCCGCGTCGATCTGGAGAATTGCGCCGCGATGCACCCGTCAAAGGAAGATCCACCAGTTTGTGCGATCGACTGTTCGGCCTGTTTTTCGGCAGGGAACCAGAGCTGGTGTCGAAAGCTTGAAGTTCAGCAGTGAGCAGCAAGGTACTTTGAACCAATAAAAGACTGGTCGGTCTACAACTCCCGTAGCTACACCGGGCAAGCCCATATGCAAGACTCGTAGGAATCCACCGACAGCTGGCCGAAACGCTAAGAGCAATACTTCAGTTAGCAATGGATTCAGTGCAACATAGCGAGATAAGGCGACGATATCTGCGTGTGTATCTGCTAAGCTATGAAAATTCCGTCAATGTAATTTACACATGTAAGAATCTAGACTATTGAGCTGAAAGTCAACATCGAAGCTCTTCCGAGTCTGTAAGGGAGGCCGGTTTTTCAGCCCGCTATGCGAGAGCCGAAGCAACGTCTTCGTCCTGTGCGATGTCTCGCTAATCAATAGGTTCCCAGAGATGGTCAAGCACGGCGCATATCGGTCTCATTCAGACGCGAGCTGCTGTACCCCAGAAGGTCAAAACCGTACGGGATTCGGCCGGTAAATGGGGCAGAATGGATTGGGGCCATCCAACCTGTAAGATGAAAGCGTGTGAGCGAACCCTTGTCACCGCAACGTAAGGTCAACGCATCCGTCCAATCCCCACGCGGGTCGGCGCCGGGGATTAGCGCCGGCATCTCCCCCCAGACTGGCAAAAGACGGTTACACCCTCAACGCCTTTAGGCTAAATTGCTATTGCCGGCTTTGATGATTTAATCGTGCTAGGAGCCTAGGATTTGTCGTCTCATGGCCATTCTCACGCGGGGTATCGTGCAGGGTGTCCAGGCTCGGCGTATTTTCACATTTGACCGAGAGCTGTTTTATACGACAGGCAATCAAGCTCAATGAGAACATGGCTTTCACTGCCGAGAGTTTTGGTATTTGCGTTGGTTTGCGCTCCTACTGGTGGTAGCATGGGCTACCTGCCTGAAAACCCGCCATGAAGGAACGAGAAAGATCATCGTATCAGATGCTGCAATGCTCACACCCTGCAGCTGTGCCTCCGTGTTCCCTCACAGAACAATAAAGAGGCGACAGTCCCATCGAACCACAGATCCAGCTCTACCACTCCAATTGACTGCAACCTAAGACGTTCACTTTTCTCAGCGACAACGTGGGCAGAACGGCATCAACCCCAAATTTTTGTGCCTTATCACGTGCAAGAAGAAAAGCATATTGGCGATCATGGGAGGCCACTCATCTGGCAACGCGGCTTATGATGCCGCGCTACAAAGACGTCAGGCATTGATGGGAGCTAGTGGTGCAAGGGCTCTTGTCAAGAATTGGAAAGTCGCCCGCATCGCTGCCTTCGCCTGCATTGGCGGTGTCTTGTACGGCTATAACCAGGTGAGGAAACTCTGTCAATTGGGTTTTGGAATCACAGAAACGTGGTAGATATGAGTTACTTACCCACGATTAGGGCATGTTCTCCGGTATTCTCGCTATGCCGTCGTTCGACAAGCGTAAGATCTCCCAACCCTTTCCTCCTAGATGTGTTCGCAATCATTGAGGATTGAGACCAGCTTACACATGCTTTCCGCTCAGATATGGACGGATACACAAAGAACCCAACCCAAAAAGGCTGGCTGACATCAATTCTCGAGCTTGGCGCCTGGGTCGGTGCTATCTTATCCGGCTTCATTGCTGAAGTTTGCTCCCGTAAATACGGTGTGCTCATTGCGACCGGTGTTTTCATGCTCGGTGTTATTGTCCAAATTTCTTCTATTTCTGGTGGCCACGAGGCAATTCTTGGAGGAAGATTCGTCACGTAAGTAATCTTCTGCTGACCTTCGTTACCGACGGGACGAGCAGCGCTAACGTGAAGAACAGCGGTATGGGTGTCGGAAGTCTTTCTATGATTGTCCCACTTTACAATTCAGAATGCGCACCACCGTAAGTGAAATACACTATCATGTTGTTTCTCCTGAGCTTGTCTAACGTAAGCTTTCCAACAGTGAGGTTAGAGGTGCTCTTGTAGCTCTACAGCAGCTGGCTATCACTTTTGGCATCATGATCAGCTTTTGGATTGTAAGCCCTTGCCCTTTCGAACTCATCATCTCCGTCAATATATCTAACCAGTAGCAGGACTAGTATGCCCCTCACTTGATTTGAAATTTTATGTTCATTCTGCGAACGTTCTGACCGACATGACCTTTCACAGCGGGTGCAACTACATCGGCGGCACCACCGAAGACACACAGTCAGATGCCGCGTGGCTTGTTCCGATCTGCCTGCAATTGGGTCCCGCTATCATCCTCTTTGTGGGAATGATCTGGATGCCATTCTCCCCGCGTTGGCTCATTCATCACGGTCGGGAGCAGGAAGCCAGGAAGATCCTCGCTGATCTCCGAGACCTCCCTGAGAACCACGAGCTCATCGAGTTGGAGTTCCTCGAGATCAAAGCTCAGTCGCTATTCGAGAAACGAAGCACAGCCGAGCTCTTCCCCCATCTGAAGGAGCAGACCGCTTGGAACATTTTCAAGTTGCAGTTCGTCGCCATCAAGGCTCTTTTCCAGACCAAGGCCATGTTTAAGCGAGTAATCGTCGCAACTGTGACTATGGTGAGTCCGACCATGTGCACAATCCTCATTTCACATCAACTCAGAAAGGAAGGATCTCTGACAAATTCCAGTTTTTTCAACAATGGACAGGTATCAACGCTGTAGGTCCTACTAACGAGATCTTGTTTGCGACAATTTTAGTTGACAGAACAACCAGGTCCTCTACTATGCTCCTCAGATCTTCAGTCAATTGGGCCTGAGTCAAACAACCACAAGCTTGCTTGCCACCGGTGTCGTTGGTGTGGTCATGTTCATTGCAACCATTCCTGCCGTGTTATGGATTGATCGCGTCGGCCGAAAGCCTGTCCTCAGCATTGGTGCTATCGGCATGGGAACCTGCCATCTCATCATTGCTGTCATTCTTGCCAAGAACATCGATAGATTTGATCAGCAACCAGCTGCTGGGTACGTTGTCTACCATCAGTTGACATTAGATGAATAGGTGTACTGACTAATGTACTTTAGTTGGGCCGCGGTGTGTATGGTTTGGCTGTT